TCTTTTTTCCTGCTGTTTTAATTGACTGAATGATCGTCCCTTACTTCTCTTCTAATTAGGATAACAAGCCATAATGTTCAATGTGCAGACCTGCTGAATGTGAAACAGGCATTTTTGTCCTTGATTTTGTTTCAGGTGGATCTGTGTTATTTGTCAATTCATAGGGTTTCTAATTACATCTAATTAGGAAGGTATATAATAAAACTTTTGTCCATTGGTTTATGTCTTTTCATCTAGATCTAATAATTATTAGATCTAGATGAAAAGACATAAACCAATGGACAAAAGTTTTATTATATACCTTCCTAATTAGATGTAATTAGAAACCCTATGAATTGACAAATAACACAGATCCACCTGAAACAAAATCAAGGACAAAAATGCCTGTTTCACATTCAGCAGGTCTGCACATTGAACATTATGGCTTGTTATCCTAATTAGAAGAGAAGTAAGGGACGATCATTCAGTCAATTAAAACAGCAGGAAAAAAGAAAGAAATCACTTAGGTTTAGTAATGTAACAGTATCACAGATCATAGGATTTTATGCTCAAATTACATGGAAACAATGGAAATATGAGAATTAAGATTATAAAAATAAATAAAATGTTCCACAGCATTACCCACATTTCAAGATGTCACCCTAAACTCAATAGCCCATCCCCAAAGTCACTCCCTAACACCTTGCACCTCAAAAAGCTGGAGGGAAGGAAAGAATGAAAGATTTGAGTGCTTCTAATGATGCACTTATAAGATATGCAAGACACATCTCTCAGTTACATTAGTGGTGTTTTATACATCACAACTCAATTTTAAAATATGTCTTCTGCATTCTAATGAAGGACCAGCAGCTTACTGGACAGAAATATGTGGTGGGGGAAAATGGATCATATATTATTTAATACTGCTGTACCAGCTGACAAGACTTATGTAGCAAGCCATGGCATAGGCCGCGCCATAGCTCAAGCAGTTAGTCGTTGGGTTCCCACCGCGGTACCCCGGGTCTGGTCAAGTGGGATTTATGGTGGACAAAGTGGTGCTGGGGCGGGTTTTCATCGAGTACTTCAGTTTCCCCTGCCAATCTTCATTCCACCAATTGCTCCACAATCACCCTTACCTATCATCTGGGGCTGGTACAATAGGCCAGAAGTGGCCACAGTACAAGGGACTTAGTCCCACCCCACTAGCAATAAAAATAATAATAAAAATAAAAAAGCCATGGCATATTTAAAGGTAACTCTCCCAGTCCAGAGGTAAAGGTAAAGTTGCCCCTGTGCTTAACTAATTAAGCACTACACCATGAAAATGTATGAGGGAGTGGGTGTATAGATAAAAGTTTTCTTGACCTCGCACCTAGTTGGAGGTGACTGGTGAGCTTCATGCCCTGGCCGCTTTACCTGCTGGAAAAGAAACCCCAATACCCATAGTAGCTGGTATCTCAGGTATGGATCAAAAAGGGAACCGCCTGAATACAAGTCAGAGGCACTACCACCTGAACCAACTTAAAGGAGGAGCATTTAATGTTTGATGTACATCAGTACATTCATGGATGAAAATGTGTATTAAATATGGCAATGGAAGATGGGTATGTAAGCTTGAAATGCAGCTACAGAAATAAAACTTAGCTTCATACTGTTAAATTTCTTGGATATGCATTTTCTAATGAAATATGTTACATGGGTTTGTATAAATGATGATTCACTGTGAGAAGAAGAAACACTGCATTATCAACAATTATTGACCCCTTCCCCCAGAAATGAATACTGCAAATCTTGAAGCCAGCAGTTAATTGATGTATACCTCAAAGCATGGGAGAACATGACAGAAGAAAGAAGAAATAAAAAAACTGTTTCCTCATTAAAAAGCACACATAAAATACTTACTAATTCTAAACTAAAATATTCTTACAACCAATATCACTACTGTACTGCAGTGGACAAAATTATTAGTTCTGCATTATTTGGCTCTCTAAAATCTTTACCACAGACATCATTTTGATTTTTATAGATTAAGAAGCTGAAAATAAGAGAACGGCTACATACAAGGGCTATTCGGAAAGTAACCTCCACTGAGATGTTAAAAAACAAGCAATGGGGGGAAAAAATAGTATATATAAAAAATACGTACATCCTTAAGTTACTTCTCAACAGAATCACCGCCAGAGCTGAGGCACTTGTCATATTGCAGAATTAGTTTTTATGCCTGTACTCTCAGCCAGGTTTTTGACCCCTTCCATCAACTCCTCATTATTGTTGAAGTGCTGTGATCCAAATCAGTTCTTCAGATAGGCAGACAGGTGAGAGCCTAGTCTGTGATAATCTAGCAAAGAGTAGTGTGTGTGAAATTTGTGGAAATTTATATGAAAGTTCTGAAATTGTGAAGTGCCATCTTTCACAAATTTGTTGGTCAATGCTTTGAACAAGATCATCACTCACTACAGATGGCCGACAACTTCACTCTTCATCAAGAACATTTGTTCATTCATCTTTGAACATTTTATACCACTGCCTTACAGTTCCTCCACCCATTACATTTTGGCCATAAACTGTGCATAATTCATGATGGATTTCTGCAGCACTCATTTTTAGCGTGAAGACATAGGATAACAAAGCGAATTTCACAGTTGGCAGGATTACTGATTGCAGAACATGTCATAACTCACTCTGTAGAGACAAGACCAAACACTAGGTGACCAGTTATGTGATAGTTTACAAGGCAATGAGTGACATCACACTACTTCATAAGCATGAGCTCTCCCATGTTTCTATATTAGGTGCCTAAAATAAATGGAGGTTATTTTCCAAATTGCCTTTGTACTATGTTCTTATTCTCCAATGACTTTTCAATTTCACTCTCTTGGGTTGGATCATTTTGAAGCATTCAAATATACAAGGGCAAATACCAACACTCAGCTATTTTATGAAACTAAATCCTTGTGCAGTAATTGTGGCTAATGATTTGCGACATACATAAGCAAAACAAACTACTACCTTATTACATTTCCAGGCATACTCACTGAATCATAATTATTAAACTTGCAACTTTATTTTGACAACTTTCTATTTCCTAAGATTTAACATATAATATTGCAGGATACATGAAGGAAGGATGGATGGAACATTCACCAGGGCAGCATATGGACCCAGAGATACACGTTCTGAGAAATCTCTTCAAGGTCTATTTGCTATACTTGGTGTATCGACGGGCTTCAACTAAGCACTCCTCCATCTCTAGACTATCCAATAAACATAATTTTACTTTATCAAGTTCAGGATACCAGTTGTCAATCTGACAAATCTACACAAGTTTTATGTTATCTTCGCTGCATAATGTTCATCTCCAGGGGATGCATATGTATTGCAGTTCATTGAAACTTGGGTGAAGTCCTTTAAAAAGTAAGATTATGTAGCAGCTTTATAAATGCGCATGCTGTTCACAATCTTTCAATAAATACTACCATCTAAAAATCAAGAAAATGAGAACAGCCAAAAATGTACTACAGTGGGACCCTCTTATGAAGTTTTCTGCGGTAACATGCGATTGAAACTACATAAGTGGGGAAGCACATTAAAAGAGTAGGCTACAAAATGTGCATAAAATTAATTTTTGCCATAAGTGAAAATACGCCTAATGCCTCTTTATATATACAAAAAACAATGTAACATCTGTTCTGCACCAGTTGCAACAAGTTCAGGGGAATGCCAATGAAGGTGCCACTTGATGGCCTGCATGTACAGTAAATGCAGAACATGGCAACAGATGGTGTGGCACATTTATACTGCAAAGGGTAACATGTTCTTACTGCTGCAGTGTGAATGATGCATTTGATAAAACTGGAATCATGATCTTAAGTCCTAAATTGTTCTTTTCCCATGGGAAGTTGTACATTGCTATATTCAGATGTCATTTGTACAATGGAATAAGCATTTCAGTAGACCATGACTTGCTTAAGAAAGCTATGCATCATGATATTTTGTCATATGAGGTACAAATTAAGTATGACATTTCATTCTCAACGTCTCTCTTTCAAATGACAAATTGGAAAACGTTCTGCTTGTGAATACTATGGCTGTAGGCTAATGGCCATAGGCATGCAAATTTGCATATATGCATTGCTAGTATGTATTAAATACAGGAATGTAACATGACAAAATGGAATCGTAAGACCATCCCTGGAAATGAAGAAGGATGGCCACTTTGGTCCAGCTGTTTTTTAAATACTTGCAAAGCTTTAGAGACACGCCAAATCATGAAACAATATGACCACCAGAATTCGTAATGCCTCAGAGTATTTAATGCAAATGGCACTGGAAGGCAGTGCTATGAGTTCATAAGCTGCTGCGAGAACTATATTTGGATGTGGCTCTGCTGTAAGAGACATCTAAATTACAAATTACCTTTCAGCAGAATAACCACTTCCCAGGCAGAAAAAGCATAATTGTCATTGCAGTTAGGGGGGAGGAGGAAGTAAAGTTATCTCTGTAACAGGCCATGGAGGCCCCATAGGGTTGTGAGATGTTGAGGCACCTATGTTTTCCAGACAATTGGCTAATAGATAGCAGTCAGATTGTCAACCTCATGCACCGGCCATCCTTTACCCCCAGAATTTCTGGTTCTGATTTCTTTTAGAAGTTGAGTCGGTCTCAGGACCACAGAGTGGCTGGAACAATTAGGTCAATTGAAAAATAAAATGACCTCATCGGGAACAGAACCTGCAACCTTCCAGCTTGTAGCACAGCACCTCAACCAACTATGCTACTACATGCCCTGCAGTTAAGAATGTTTCTTTACTATATTCATGCAGATCCACACCAACTGGTAACAGCAAAGCGTTACTCGCAACTGTCTATCGAGCGTACCTGGAATGATGCAGATATCACTGAACACTTACACAAAATAACAGTATACCCCCTCCCCCACATTCACCCCCCTTCACAACCATGGCACATATAAATACAGAAGCAAGCACACCACATCTATGCAT